GTTCACGCAAGCAAGCAAGCAATAAGAATTCTAAAAAAGAGATATCCGTGCTAAATGTTCCAAACCTAAAATCTAAATAACTCAAAAATAAAAAATAAAAATAAAAAAACCCAAATATAGAATGAATTCAGCGCCAAGATGCTGTTGCTTTCAATTGTCAAGAGATAAGGTTGTCATTCAGGGATAGTGAAGCCAGTTGATCAGCTGCAGTATTGCTTTGCTGCTGAGCAGCGACACTCCTCAGGAGCTCCATGGCCTCTGCAACTTTGGCCTTCAAGGCGTCGGGTGACTCCAGCAGATGCAGTACCTCGGGCTGGTCCATTTCCAGGAGCATACCTGTCACCTTGGCTGCTGCTTCAGGCTCCAGTTGTTGCACCAGGGGGTACAAATTTTCACCCAGCAACTGTGAACAAACAGAGTTTGAAATTATAAATTTAGACGTCCCTTATCAATTAAAGCAAAATAGAAATTTCCCAAAAACAACATGAGCAAAAGCTTACAGTCCTTTGCTGGTCAGGTGTTGAATTTGCAAGGGCTGAAGCTAAAGCTTGAATGGGCATTGGATGTCCCAAGCCTGCATCCCGCATTGCCATGCCTCCCATTTCATATGGGACAGAAAGCATACCTCCAGCAGCACCTGGCATTGGAACATCAGGCATATTGCGCCCAGGAGGATAACGATATGCACGCCCCCTAGGAAGCATCTGGAACAAGCAGAATGTCAAAAACACTTGCAAACACACAATCATGAAATGAACAGCATTCTCAAACACATCCAGCTTACCTGCTGCTGCATCAATGGGACTGGTTGCTGGTTCTGTTGCACAGGATTTGCTCCACGGCGCCCACCTGGACGCTGGCCCTGCTGGCCTGGCTGGACCATGGGAACAAAGAAGTTGGGAATGGGGCCCCCACCAGGCCTCATCCCAGGAACAAGTTGCTGCTGATAACCAAACCCACCCTGCTGAAATCAATGTGACAGAATCGAGGTCAAAAGCCATGGACCTAACATGTAAGCTAAATCAATGCAATAGGTAGAAAGCAACAACCACATTCCAATCTAAGCAACAAGGAGAGGAGAAAACAGTAGCATGAGCCCTTTCAACAAGAACCCAATCACCAGACATCCAAAAGAATAAAGAAAGTTAACATGAATGAGAACTTTAGTAAACATCAAGTAAATTTGGTTGGGAAAGCCAAAGGGTGAGAGTATGACAATTACTTGTGGAGGAATTATAGCTGGAGGTGCCTGCCCATATAAAAATTGCTGGCCAAGGCCTGGAGCACCAGGAGGATACATAGGCATACGTGGAGCAACTGATGGAGCCATGGCAACTGGCCTCATTTGCAAAAACTGAGCCTTTATAAAACCAAAAACATACAAATGAGAAACTAAAGATGCGGATACATTAACTCAGATATATCAGGGCATTCAAACTATTTGGAACATGAACTTGATCTCTACATTTCACTTATACCACAACAAAAATTGAAGGACACTGATTTTCATAAAAAATTAAAAAATTGAAAAAATAAGAAAATAATATACACCATCTTGAAACTAAATAAATAACACTGCAAAATGAAAAAAAAAAAAGAAAAAAAAGAAAAAAAAGAAAAAAAGAGAAAGAACTAAATTACCCACAAAATCAGTTTGATCACAATTATGATACCTGCAGCCTTGCTCTTCTCTCTTCTTTCCTCTGTGCCAGGGCAACATATAATGGTTTGCTTACAAGCATTTTACCATTCATCTCAGCTAGCTGTAAATAAAAAAATTTATTAGCTTACCATCACATGTTGATCACATCCCCTCTAACCTCCCCCGTACCCCACCCCCTCCAAAAAAAAAAAAGAAGCTTACAGCTCGAGATGCTTCCTCAGGAGTTGAAAATGCAACAAATCCAGAGCCCTTACTGATTCCACTTGGATCACGCATAACCTTCAGACATAAAAAGTAAAAATAAGCCTACAGAAAACAAGACTGACAATGTCAACTGAAAACTGAAATTCCAAGTGAAAAACTACAAACCTTGCAAGAAGTAATAGCACCATACTCTGAGAAAAGCTCCTTTAATTTTTCATCATCTATGCCGTCATCCAAATTCTTAATGTACAAATTCACTCCCTGTAGTTTATCTGCAGCTTCCTTCATACTTTGCTCAAATCGATCCCTAAGTTCTAGTTCTCTTTCAGATTTTTTTTGGGCTTTCCCAACATACCACTCCTTTTCATCAATTTTTTTTCCATTAAGGGCATCAACAGCTTTAGCAGCATCATCAGCATCATCAAAGTTAACAAATCCAAATCCCTTGGACTTTCCATCTGCATCCTTCATTACTACCGCACTAGTAATTATCCCATAGTCACCAAATATTCTATTTAAATCTTCATCTGTTGTTGATTCAGAAAGATTTTTGACATAGACATTGTTAAATTTTGTCTTATTCGAAGCAATCTCTCTTTCCTGCTTACGGAGGAAGTGTCCCACATAGACCTGCTTATCATTGATCAACATTCCATTCAACTTATCTATTGCCTTTTGAGCAGATTCCTCATTGTCAAATTGTACAAAGCCATAGCCTTTGGATTGTCCAGAGGCATCAGTAGCTATCTTGCAAGAAAGAATGTTTCCAAATGCAGAAAATGTTTCATGTAAAGCTTTGTGGTCAATAGACTTGTCCAGATTCTGCACATTAAGCAATGTCAAAGGGTAAAGGAATCAATTAGCCTGTGCAACAAACGAATCCAGCAAAAAAATAATTCCCATATTGCAGAATAATTTATATTCTGAGACAACAGAAAAAGAATTCTATGCAACAGCAATCAAGTATGATGGAAATACCTTGATAAATATGTTTGCAGTACCACTCTTACGAAGACTGGGGTCCCGATGAGAATACATGATTCTTATGGGCTTGTTATTGAGTGGAGTAAAATTCAGTACATCCATTGCTCGAGCAGCTGCAAACAACACACAAATAAACATTAAGGCAACAAATAAGAACAGACTCAATGGAGCCAACTAACTGAAAAACTAAACAAAAGTTTAAAACTGTAGAACTCTGAGCTACAATTTACCATGTTAATGGAAATAGAACAGCAATTCAAAACAAAATTTTCAGAAAATATAACTTTCATTTTACAGGATGTATTAAAAAATACAAGATGCTGTACATGCTTCATCTACAGAGCTTTATTATCAAAATCTAAAACCAAAGTGAACAAACCCCAAAGAAAATGTTCATGCCCAAATTCCAGAGCAATTTAATTGAATTCTTTAATATCCTCTTACCCACGAATTTCCCTTCAAATAACTAACTGAAATAATCATTATAACTAAGCTCAAAGCAATGAAATTTAAATAATTATAAAGAATTTAACAATACATGATAACCATTTATAATCTTGCAACAGTTCACAACTAAACTTCAAGAATCAGCGTACAAAGGCTTCAAATTGTAAATTACATTAATACAAAGGACAAAGCAAAATCATCAATTAAAGGACTAATTTTGCAGTGAAATACAGAACCAACCATCTTGGGAGTTGCTATAGTTGACATAACCATAGCCAAGAGACCGGCGCGTGGTCAGGTCCCTGCAAACCCTAACCGACACCACCTGAGCCACCTGGCTGAACAGATCGTAGAGCTGAGATTCGGTAACGTTCACATCCAGATCACCAATGTATAGCGAGATCGTCCCGAATTGGCTCCCTCCCTGGCTTGCCGCGACGCCGTTGGGGCCGCCGGGAACAAGAGGAATCTGCGCCATCACCAAATCCCAAACCCTAGCAAAACCTTGATCGTGTTTTGAGAATTTTTTTTTTTTTGGATTTTTTTCCCTTTTTTTTTTTGGTTTCCCTCTCCTGATTGCAAAGTTCTAAAAGGATTGGTCTAATCTAAACACTAAAAAAGTGGAATTTTTTTGGGGTAATTTTGGGTAAGAAAGGAGAGGGAGAGGTAAAATAGGATAGATCGTCGGAAATCCGGAAAGGGGCCGGACGGTAGAACGACGGAGAAAGGGTAGGAAAAATTTTTGGTTTTTTTAAAAGGATGGCAGAACAAAACTGCACCGCACCGGCGAAGACGCAACAGTGTAGCTTATAAAGGTAGGTCCGTTAGAGAAACCCTAGTTTAGTTTTGTGAACTTAACCTGGACTGTCCGATGATTACGAGTCCTCAAATTCAACGGCTGACATTCCGGCGGCTTTTAGAAAACAGAGAATGAGCTTCTTGCTTAAGGAAACGCCAAGCATCGACGCGTGGCACCATCGACAGTATGAGGAAGTTGTTATTTTCCCGACAATTTATTTAATTACTTTACGCGTCTACTTCGCTATAATTTAAATTATATGATAACTTTTGTAAGAAGAAAAACTTACCATCTCTTAATATTAAAAATATAAAATATTTAATAATTATTATATAATGAATTTAATAATATTAAAACTCATATTATATTTTATATATTTAATAATAATGATAATTAAATGTTTTGATTTTTTTAATATCAAAATTTTTATAGTTTTTTAATTTATTTTATTTTATTTCTTTTACTTGAATAAAAGTAACAAGGGACCATCGAAAGCCCACTTAGCACATACATGCATGTAGAAGCCCAGATTTACTTTCACCGTGGGCCGACAATTTGCCCTGTCTACTTCAGGAAAAAGTTGTGTTTTGAACCAACGGAGAAACGAAGCCGTTTTTGAATTTTTTTTGGTGGATGCGTCTATTCATTTGATTTCTCAAATCATTTCCCATATCTATACAATAATCAGGGGCGAAAGCTGTTAAGAATTTATATATTGTAATAAAATGAATCAATATAAAATGAAGTAATTCTGGATAAATTACTTATATAGTATTGTTGTTGATAACATATATCTTTCATATGTGTATAAGAGGTAGTTTTTGTGCATGCAAATTAATCAAAGATGGTAACTTTGATACGGTAGTTCAACGATTAAAAATTTGAAATTTTAAGTTAAAAATTTTAAATTTAAGTTAAAAATTTTAAATTTAATTTTTAAATCGAATAAGAAAAGATTTGAAAATAGAAGAAAATTATCATTTTTTATATAATTCATAATCAAGTATATTTAAAAAAAAAAAAACAAAAGTAGTAATGGCACTACCAAATTCACTAAAAAAAATAAAAAACAAAGGAGAAAGAAGCGACTATAAACTATGTGGTCTGATGGTAACTTACGAGAAAAACAAGAAAGAAGTGCCCTCCATCTCTATTTGAAATCCAAGAATATAATTGATCCATTTTCCCTCCAAAAATCTTGACGAGCACCATGAATGAAAACCAAGGATGGGCCCATCAAACACTAGCAACCATTTTTCTCCTTTCAAAATAATTACTAAACAAAATGCACCTCAATTGACTCCATCATAAAGTAATATTATATAAATTGCATGTTGTTTCCAACTAGTAGATACGGTGCCATTTTTTCTTTGTCCATTTTCAAACTTAAGAAAAATCAAGGGTCGAATAGGTCTTAAGGACGCGAAGTAGGTACGTGGACTTCAGTGTGGGAGAGCGACCACTTTTAACCTAAAAGCTTCACCCATTCCTATTGTCAAAAGGATCACACACACACACACACAAAACATAAAGAGTGGCATCGGCAAACCGCTTTGGTTCCAAGTCAGGAATAATAAGCTAGCAGTAGAGAGTACAAAGAGATAACTTTGTCTTTCTTTCTTTTTTTCTGAACCAAAAGAAAGAAAGAAAGAAAGAAAAGCTAGGGCATGCATTACAACAAAGCAGATCAGAATAAGAATCTAAACCAAATTTTTTGGTTTACGCTTCTTTTTTTGAAACCCCTTCATCTGCCTTCCGGGTGCAACGGGAAGAGCTCTAGAGTTCTGTTGTCCTCATCTTTACATGATAATCTGCTTTCTTCTTCCAAGCACTCGAACGACCAGCTCCGCCACTTCCTCTTGTATGGACTGTCCCCCTGATCTCTTTCCATAAGTTCTCCCTGCAGTTGAAAATGAATTAGTTGCCAGTGAGTCCAGGATACAAATTATAAACTTGATTAATACTAAGATGTTTTGTTTTACTTAATTTTATATAATGAAGCGAAAGCATAAACATACGTACCCTAGTGTCTAAAGATATGGATATGGTAGTAACTGGCATGGAATTCCTTGGTGAGTGGCTAAGACCAAGGCTGTTACGCTTTTGCTTTTGTCTCTCGCGTGCTTTGTGGTTCTGGAACCAATAGAACACGTTCTTTCCTTCAATCTTGCCATACTTTCCTAGCTGTGCAGTGATTTGCTCTATCTGCTGTGCATTTGGAGTTCTCATTCCACCTCTATACAGCATCTCCAAAATTCCTATCTGCTCTTGCGTTGGATTCCACCGCGTACCTCCAGGATGCGTTTCCACCTGGACATATAACAAAATAACCCAATGAATCCTTACGGATAGCTAGGGTACATCGTACTTATGATTTTTTTTATAATACATCTGATTATAGACTATACATATAGTTAATCACGTCACTAAAAATGACCCTCAATTGCTCCACCCTTTCTAGCACAAACTGTCATAATAGAAAACGTCACAAATACTATTTTAGTGCAAACTATTGTAACAAAGAAGCATCACAAAAGACATAGTGCATATAATATAGAGTTTCACCTGAAGTGAATCTTTCTTGTCATCCGGGGAACCGAGTTTTCTAGGGCGGCTTTCAGGTCTAATGAAGCTCTTGAGATCAAAGGAGGAGACTGTACTGTCAGGGGAGGTTAGCTTGGGAGCAAGAGGGCGTAAGCGCTTACAGCCGCCACCCAGAGTTAGGGAGGGTTCATGCTGCTCCCAGAATGCACGTGGTAGTTGATGCACCTTCATGGTTATTCCCATGGGTGGAGAATGGAATGACAGAGATAGTAGTGATTATATAGAAGATGAATGAAACTAAAGCAAAAAGACTAATTAAAGTGGGAAATGAGGTGGTGCTCTGAAGAACCAAGACCAAATGATGAGGTGCGGTTGACTTGTGGCTTCCAAATTTTAAAAAGTTTGCGAAACAGCAAGATGAGAAAGGTGTTGAATTGGTAAAGGGAGGGAACACCAACACTCACAAAGGAGAGATTTTTTGTCCTTTTTTTTTGGCAGTGAGGTGGTAAATCTTAATTAGGTCGCTTTTACCCGTTAAAAGTAAAACACGCATTGCAGGGTAATTAATACCTCAGGTTATTTGAGAAATTTAAATGTACCAAATCATGTTTACTTCTTGTGTAGAATCAAATTGCAAACCAAATACAGTTTTTTTTTTTTTTTTCAACTAAAAGATCTTAATAAATTGTAGAAGTATATATCTATAATAAACCTCTCTAAAAAATTGTATTTTAAAAAACAGAAAGGTAAAATATAGTCTACGTAATTTTTTATAATAATTGATAAAAATAAAAATAAAAATTCTGTTCAAGAACAAAAAGTCGCAAAAATCATTTACCATACAAGCCAACCTATGAGTAGAAGAGAGATAATTATATAAGTCGTGTGTATATGCGTGTGGGTTGGCAGGTCTAATCGGGGGTGGGGATTATATTTTCTTGCTTTCATGATAAGGTGTCCATATGCTTTTCGGTGGCCTCGTTGGCTTTTCTTTCAACCTTTTTCGTGTTTAAAGCAAGGGGAATGGAGAGGAATGAGAAAAGATTCCTCCAATCCCAAAACTTGAAAATGCAAACTCTTTCCTTTCCAAGATACGGATATGGTGAGAGAAAGAAGTGAGTGAATGCCGTCGTCCATGACTTAACCAATCTTTTAAGTAATGTTGAAAAACTAAACACGTACAAAACCCACAAAGAAAATTATTTTACAAAGGTTTCTTTCAACTGTTTTTAGAATATAGTTTTAAAATATAATAAATACATTTTTTATTATAAATTTATATTAATAAAATAAAAATAAAAATAAAAATAAAAATTAAATTTATTAATTATTTAATTAAATTTATTTTTTTTAAACAAATTTTTACAAGGGGTTGGATTCAAACCCTAACCCTGAGAGAGGGAGAATGTATCATGAGTGGCTATTGTCATTTGGGCCAAAGGACTCGGTGTATTTAATTAAATTTATTTATATAATAATAACATTAAAATTAATATTTTTTATTTTTTATATAAATTAATAAAAAAAATTTCATTAACATGTACTCTTAAATCCCACATCCCAATCCTCTTTTCCATTGGAAACTGTTGCTCCAGTTTCCCACATGACATTATTAAATTCTTCAAAAACCCAACAAACCCCACTTTTTTAATTATTCGATTTTTGAATATGGATCTCTGGGTCTAACACTAATAGCCACTAGCCACCATGCAACGCACCATACATGCATACGTATATATGATATTAGTATGTGGCTTGAAGAACAATAATTACATGTTCCACTTTGTATGATGAGCTTTGAATATTAATTGCTGTATCTCACCACAATCACGGGCATTTTGGAGTGCTACTGATTGGGCGCAGCACGTGTGATTGGGCATTTTGAGTGAGACACACACGTGCTTCAATTATATAGACATCTTTGTTAAAGGAAAATTCTTCTGATTTTTTCTCTTAATTGATCTCTTTTTACCTTTTAAGTGGCTTTAACTGCCAAAATTTACCTCAAATTTTCTTCTAGAAGAGGATAGATAAAAGGTTAGGCTAATAAAGGGCTAACCTTGGAAAAGAATAGGATCAGTACTGGGGTGGAAAAGGGTAAAACATTATTATGGGGTGTTTGGTTTAAATATCATTTTTCTTGATGAGAAACAGTTTACTGAGAAAACAGTTAAAAGAATACTTTACAAAAAGTTAAAAAAATATTAAAAAAAAAAAGAAAAAAAAAGAGAATGCCACCTGTGAAAGTGAATCAACAGCAAATGGTGCCTTGCAACAGAGGTATCTCTGCTTCTGCTGATTCTTCAAAGAGATAATTACATCTACTAGGCAGAGGCCGCTGTTGTTTCTTCTTCTTCATTTTTTACCTTAAGGCAGAGGCTGCTTTAAGTATATGAAAAAAAAGAAAAAGAAAAAAGGATCTTTATATTCCAAAACGGAGGAAAAAAAAGGTTGAGGTTAAAAACGTATTTGTGCAAGTGTCATTCTTGCTTAATTCGACGAATGCGAGAGATAATGATGGCATTGTTTGACAAAATCTTAGATTTATAAGAGCGGGGCCATGTTTTTGGCCTCACGTAAGAGCAGAGTCCCACATCTGATTACACTATCCCCTCAATCACGACAATTGTTAACAAAAGTTTCTTAGCTTAGGTCTCATGATTCCTCACCTAATATCTTGCTCACACAATTTCTTGAGATTTATCTGCTTCATCTGCAATATATGGCTCCTGTTAAATTTTTGACCACTTACGGCAGCTTGTATACATCAATTATTAGTTTTATGTCAGCAAATCAAAAACAAATAAAGTTTTATAATATTAAAAAACAAACAAAAAATTACAAAAAGATCAAACCATTGATTTAAATTAATGGTAAAAATTGATACCTTATAATCTAAAGACTATATGTTCTAATTTTACATTTATGAGTTTTAGTTCTTAAATTTAGAGAATCTAATTATAATTGGACAATGTGTGAATTAAGCATTATTATAGTAAATATGCATGTACTTCACTTGATAAAAAAAAAAAAAACTAATTGTATTTTGAATAGTTATAAATTTGAAATTTTAATTATTTTCGATATATCAAATGTTGAATTATATAATAAAAAATATCTTTTTTCTTTTTAATCTCTCTTCATCTATTTCTAAATTTAAATTTTTAACTTAAAATTCTATTCTCTTAATCATTTAAAACACACTAAAGTTTAAAACTTTCCTGAATAGAAGCCAAAAAGATAAAAATGTTAATTGATGAATTGGGAAGTTGCTAGAAAATGGAGGAGGGTCCTTGCAATTGCAATGATTCAACAAAAGCAGCAATTGAATCAGGTGTCTAGAATTTCACATTTTGATTCACAAAAAAACCACCGAACAAAGACTTTAAGCAATATATGCAGTCTGATGAATTTGAAGAAAAATGCCTTGTCTTATTCGTGGAGAAAATTATTACAACCCAATTACAGAATGCCAGGTCAGCATCAAGGGCGATAAAATTGGCCAGTCTTGACACGTGGTGTCACATGATTGGTAAGTCAAACCATAGAGAGACAGGTTTTGGGGTTTCGTACATGGGATTTTATTTGTCGGTCAAAGATAAAGAGAAGGTGAAGTCGAACTTCATGATAGAGAGTGGGACCCACACAGTGGAAGAAACGGTGGGAATCCATCATTAGCAAGACAATGTCATCATTTGCACGTGTCAATGGAC